GTTGCCACCGTTGTTGTTATTGCTGTGCATGTTGTTGTTGTTGTTGTTGTTGTTATTGTTGTTGTTGTTGTTGGCATTGTTGTTGCAGTGATTATTGGCGTTTCCCTGGTCCGCGTTCCCGGTCGACTTGGACAAGAAATTGGACAGCGTCTTCGCTCGCTCGTTCGCGGTCGGCAAGAGAATGCTCCAGCCGGTCTGCAGGACCGCTTGGGCCGCCTCTTGGATCGTGGCCAGGATGCCGCTTCCGCTCGCGAGCATCACGCACCGTTGCTTCAGAGAAGTGAGAAGCAACCCCACGGACTTGGCGTCGATGTTGTGCGTGATCATCGTGTGGAGTTGCAATCGGAGCAAATTCAAGGCGGCCACCGCCAAACATTCGCGGTCCTGAGTCGGCGGACGCGGGCCCGGCAGTCCTTCGCAGGCCTTCGCCAGCAAGGTGTCCAGCAGTCGAAAGGTGTCCTCGGAGACGTCCACCACGAACGGTACCCTGCTCGCGACGGACGATATCGAAGTGCACCACGCGAAGCTTTGACTCGGTCCGCAAGCCAACCCCATCACGTTTTCCCCCGACAGAGTCGGACAGACGGTCGGCTCGGGCAGCACGCTCTCCAACGCCGGATCGATTTGACCGTAATCGTTTCTACCCCATCCGTATACCAGCTGATCCTCCGTCAACGCGAGCACGTGCGAGGTTCCGACGCACAAGTCCTTCACCTTCTTGGCTTTCAGAGCTTCGACCGCTTTCGGGAAACCGACGTGCTGCTCCCCGTCCCCGTGGCCTAAACGGTAAGCCTCGCCTTTGCCCCAGGTGAAAACTTCTCCGTACGCCGACAGAGCCGCCGAGAACTGACCGCCGCAGTACACCTTCGTCACGTTTATGTCCAACAGCTTGTCGACTATCTTCGGCGTTTTCGAGCCGTCGCAACCTCCGCCCCAGGAGAACACTATCCCCGACGCGGTGACGCACAGCGTCTGAGAATCGTCGCTGCCGCACGCCACGTGCATAACCATGTGCCCGTTCAGGCCGGTGACCAGCGTGGGAACCGTGACGTCGTTCGAATTTCCGTGGCCCAGTCTTCCGTTCTTTCCTCTTCCCCAAGTGTACAGTTCACCGTCCGAACTGAGCGCCGCGGAGTAGGTGTTTCCGCAGGCGATCAACGTGATGTTCTTCTCGGACAACGCCTCGATTAATTTCGGCTCGTGGTACCACGTCCTGTTCCCGTGACCTAATCGTCCGCCGACTCCATTGCCCCACGAATACACCAGATTGTCTTGCGTCAGAGCCAGGTAATGCTTGCCGTCCGAGTGAGAAGCGATCATGGTGACCGGCTTATCCGAGAAACCGTGCACCCTTTGAGGATACTGAGTGGTAGCTTTCACGGTTTTATGAGTTTCGGACTCGTAATACATCATGTAGACGTTCCCGGTGGTCGAAAGGATCATCAGGGCGCATTCGCTGCAGCAAAGCTGCTTAACGCCAAGCTCCGCGATCGCGTCGCAATAGAACGGAGACGTGCCGTTCCCAAACTTGACGCTGCCCCAAGCCAGAACTTTCTGGCTAGCTTGATTCTGATTTCTTGGGAATCTGTCGGTTATCAACGGCGGCAAAAGGGGCGCAGCCAGCCTACTCAGATTGCACATCACGATCACCGCCGCTTTTCGTAGATCGACGGACGTGCTGTCGTCCTCCGGTAATCTCAAGTACTTGAGTAGAACTTCGCACGGGCCCGGCACGACGTTTTCGTCCGGACGTCTCGACCTCGAAGGTGGAATGGTGTTCAGTCGTCTTAGCAACGGTATCAAAGGCGCCGTGCTTCCGGGTGGCATCACGCGATTATCTTGGTGCTTGTGTTTCCCGCTCAGGTGAAGCAACAGACACACGGAATCCAACAAACTGGACAGCGTAGCCCTTTGCGTCACTAATTCCAGCAACAGACAAAGAGCCGTGTGCTGGTCGGTCAACGGTATAGGAGACCACGATCTTCCGTTCGCTATATCCCTAGAAATCAAAGTAATCCTGTGAAATCGGAGAGGATGTCGTCCCATGATATTCGATTAAATAGCAAATTCGAGTCGAAAGCTAAAAATCCCGGTGTGTACCCTGTGACAACTTGTCTTAAGAATTTCGCTGATCGTTCCACCACTTCTAGCCAAACCTGAGAAACGTTCGTTTCATCGAAAAGCGTCGCTTCTGGTAACGATTGTAAAGCTTCCAATGATTCCGATAACAACTCGCTGCAAAATTCTATGTCCTCGCCGGATCTCCAAGCCCGCCTTAAGTAGGCGAATGAAAAATTTAAAGCGGCGCGAGAGCCCACTCGCGCCAAACCCAGTGTCGCCTTCTCGTTCGCTCTCATCCTGAAATTACAGTACATGCGTCGTGAATACGAGTAATCGTTACACCTCCCGTCTCTGATCGGACTTACTCTACGAATTTGCAATCGAACACGCGAATCCTTATACCTCGAAATCTCTGACACTTACAAGAATGTCCGAATGCATTTATTTGAAAGGTGCTAGACTAAAGACTAAGCACGAGGAATGCCTAATTGAGGCTTAATTGCTACATTATACCGCTATACTATACATTTTCTGTAATTTAGCTGCAGGTTTCGGTGCCATTGGAATTTCTTTGGTCTCCTGTGGTTTGTGACGAACGAGAGCCATCAAATATCGCCGTGCCACTACCAATCGTTGTTTCAGCCGTGTCGAAGATAGTGTGCTGTTTCCTACTTCGTGACATAATTTCCTTTGTTCTTTGATTAATAAATCGATACATTCGACTAGATCTGACAGGGCTGCGGGAATTCGTCGACTGTCAGAAACGTTGGAAAACATACGATAATACAGTGGAATTCCGTTTATCCGGATTACAAAAACATAATCACCATCTTTATTTTCGCTCTGCTAATTAGCTAATATATCAGAGTCTACGTTTAAGTTTCGATCGGTTCGTAATCGTCGCTCTTTATCTCTCGTCAATGAACGTTAAAATTAGTTATTATTTTAGCGCAAAGCTATCCGTGTCCTATCCATCCGGACTGGGTCTGGTCCTATTCTCGAACCAGATGAACGGGATTCTACTGTACGAATAAACGACAAAACGGTACAACAAATTCTTTACATGGTTGTGGACCCCAAAGCCAAGAATCCATGATACGTCGAGCTGGGGTAATTTTCTCCGCGAAAGTGTTCACTCTGGTTGCTTCCTCTTCGTCCAACTTTTGACAAGGCCCGCAATTACAGCCGTGTTGCGGGCCACATATACCGTCGCAACACAAGCACGACAACACGCTCATGTTGCAATAATAATGGCCGGTTTCACCTGGAAATTTCAAAGACCCATGAAAACTTTGTACGCGTTTACATAAATCGGGTCTAATCGAATACCGTTCTCGTACCTTTTCTGGCTGTTATGCCTGCTGCATTAATTAGGCCATCGCTGAAAGAACCTATAATTTCACCGTCGCGTATCATTTCATTCCAAAGTTCAGCCAAGCCATCTCGATAAAGTAAACGCTTCAAATCTGTCTTAAGCCATTTAGCGTCCAACCGGACTTCTGGCCTTACCACGATATCCAATTGAACAGACATGACGATGATTTGTCGATTTACATTGGGTCAACGACAACCTTACTCCATTACCCGCAAAGACACATTATCGCTGGATATTTTTGCTTCTTCTACGTATGTTAATTCCAACACAATTTTCTAAACTTTCCTCTTTTCTATCATATAAAGAATCTCACATTGATTCAGAATCAAATTTAACCTTTCAATCATTTCTAATGTTCCGGACTACTGCCCATTGTAGATGAGATCAAATAATTAAATAAAATCATAAGCATCGTCTTGATATACTCGAGCGTTCATAATATATTCATTTCATCTTATTATAAATCTTCCAAAACCTACTGAAATCGATCATTGTCTTCGAAAGATTTCATAATGACAGTATATTTGAACACAAAGTGCAATAGCGGTCAGTGACTTTCGATTAATTTAAATATAAAATTGGCATTGCCAAGTTTCGAAAATGCAATGCATTCCTTCGTATTATTCTCTTGAATTACGACATTCTTCGGTTGAATTTTTTATAGGAAATATGTTGTTCAATCGTCGCCCCTCTATTGATCGTTAAAAAAGTTTGAGCGACAGTCACTAAGAGTAACGAAGCCGCGTTAATCGCTGAAGGATAATAAACGACACAGAAAATACATCGTTGATTACTTGAATCTACAGTCCATTTCACAATGATTATTAAACTTTTCGACCGCGATTCCCATGTATACAGAATACATTGTTCGCGCGAGCATCGTATGCACGTTAACTGAGCATGAGTACGTGACAACACAATGGAATCTTAAAGGTGTTCACACTTGAAAATTCATGAAATCGACATTTTTTATACATTTATGAATTGAAAGAACAATAATCCAGAGTACATTAAGATGTTTAGCAGCATACATTGTTCTGTTATAAGACACATTACGAAATATGGTAAGCAATAAAAATACAAATAGAAATAAATTAGTATAAGATAGGTAGGTTATATTTTCCTCGAACAATTTGGAATCGTACGTGCAAATTTAAAACTTATACATCATTGGAAAATTAATTCGAATCGTAGGACAACGAAGGTATATTCGACACTCGATAAATACGTCCACGAACAATGAAAGTCAATGTCAATCAACGGAGATATCAACGAATCTTCATCGAGCGTGTGGACAGCCTACAGCGATAACTCATCCCCATTTAATAAAAAAAGGGGAAATTGTACCAGGTATCCAACTTTACGAGTTCAGAGACAGGCGAACTAGGCTAATGGAAACTATCGTTTCGCGTGCTAATATCAGAAATAAAGCCACATCGCATATTATAGTTATTCCATCGTCTTCCAAAGTGTACATGTCGGATAAAATCCCATATGTGTTTCGTCAAAATACAGATTTTTTATATTTTACTGGTTGTCAAGAACCCGATAGTATTTTGGTAATTACAGCAAAAAATGAAAACTTTGCAACCATACTATTTGTAAAACAACCAGACGACCATTCCGATTTATGGGATGGTCCAAGAACTGGAGTCGACAATGCCCTTACATTGTTTGGCGTTGATTTGGCGTTTCCTGTGACAGAGTTTGAACACTTTTTTACCTCATTTGTAAATGAAAATCAAAACTGTATCGTTTGGTATGATGATAATAATAATAATAATAGTATAGTGCAACCAATTCTACATAGAAAGTTACTTGAATCGATGAAAAAAACCGATAGCGCAAAATCCGTTTCTCCCACAAATATAATACATGATATCAGATCAATCAAATCTGAATCGGAAATTCGTCTAATGAGAAAAAGCTGTGAGATTGTGTCCGCAGCAATATCTAAAACAATAAAGATATCAAAACCAAAAATGACTGAACATCAGCTGTTTGCAACAGTTGATTATGAATGTCGCATGAACGGAGCAGAATTCTTAGCGTACCCACCAGTTGTTGCATCGGGTAAAAATGCTAATATCATTCATTACATTAGTAATAATCAAATTATTCAAGATGGAGATATGATTCTAATGGATGCAGGTACGTTTAATGTATTTTACCGATACGAAACTGCCGTTTTCCATCAATGAATTCCTTATAATTTTTCTTTCTTGAAATTTTCTAGGTTGCGAATATCATAGTTATTCGTCCGATGTAACTAGAACGTGGCCGATCAATGGCGAGTTTACGCAAGAACAAAGAATTTTATACGATATTATATTGGACATTCAAAAGATTTTAATTTCTAGACTGAAAGAAATGCCTACCTTGGATCAATTATTTCATCACATGTGCTCTTTATTAGGGAAAAGATTACAAGAAGTTGGACTAATACCAAAACATTTAACTGGTAATCAGTTGGTTTCAGCCGCTTACACGTATTGCCCGCATCATGTAAGTCATTATTTAGGGATGGATGTACATGATACAGGAAATGTTTCTAGGAACATGAAACTTCAACCTGGAATGATAGTGACCGTAGAACCAGGTATAATTCAATCGAGAGCATAGTTTTGTTTCTCCGTAAATTTACTTCATTCGTCTTTCTAGGTGTATATGTAAACTCGAGAAATCAATTCGCACCGTCGCAATTTCATGGTTTGGCTGTACGTATTGAAGATGATATTTTAATAACAGAGACTGGACCGGTAATTTTAAGTGAAAGTTGTCCGAAAGAAGCTGCAGAAATAGAAACTTTAGCAGGGCAGAATTTGTAATTATAACGGTAATTATTTATACGAATTCGTTCCTTGATGTTACAGTAAGTACATGCTGATAGAATTACTGTAATATAACTCTCCTGTTTTGTTTCAGATTAAACGAGTAATGTATTATTAAAATCGGTTATTAGATCGATGTAAAAAATTGTACAAAATTGTCTTTCAATGATACCATAACGACAGTGTATTTAACAATTTGTAATAACGATCGTTGATTTACAATCAATTATAATAATTAATTAAATTTCCAAGGCTTGAAAACGCCTATATATTTTCATGTTATTCGAAAATTTGTTTAAGCGGAAATAGATGAATATTATACACTTGTAACCAATAAAGAATAACCAGTAGGAAAAGTAATACGGTATACACGAAAAGGGCAAGCATGAACATTTAAATATACGAATCAATAACAATTTTTCTGAATAAATGTTATACTTTTCAATCTATAAGAATACGTATAGTCTTAATGAGAAGTAATAACTAAAGTATCGAAGTGAAACGTGTTAGTTTTGCATATTTAACTCTTATAATGTCTGTTGACACACTAATTGAGCAGTATTGTCATTGTCATTGTCATTGTCATTGTCATTGTCATTGTCATTATTACTATTGTTATATAAATTGAAAAACAATTGAAAACACTATATTTTGATATACATCAGCTCACAGGGAGATGTTAGACGGCAAGATTCCTGAATTGTACATCAGCTTGCTTCAAAGCAATGAAATTCGTTAATTGTTTGACTCGTAAACGTGACCAAACGTGGTGATCGTATAACGCATGAATCTGTGCTGCTGCAAGTGCAGCACTTTCCGGATAAGCGACTGTAGTGCATCCAATACCTAAAAATATAAATTATTCACAATATACGTTCGAATAGAATATAATTCCAATCTAGTATGCAAATTATAATTAATTAACCTGAAGGCACATTAATCGATGACCATAAATCCTGTGAAATGCTTTCCGGTTTAAAAGGCGGACAATTAATAACAGGCAAAGGCGTATTTCCAGATAGTACTGGACCCAATCCATTACTTCTCCCTGCTACAGCTATTAGCACCACCTAGGAGAGAGAAAGACGACTTACGATAACTCGGAAGTAAACAGTATACATTAATGAATATATCGGTTGTTTATCGCTGTCACAGTGATAATATGGTGTCATACACACACACACACACACACACACACACACGTTTGAAAGATACAAAGGTCGAATACAATCCTTGGAAAATGAAAAACAACGAACCGGTTCGTGTTGCTATTTTGATAGTGTTTCTCGCATTTCGATTAATATAAACATATAATATATTTTTCCAAGAAATAAACTTTGTCATACCTGAATTGTATAGAATAAAAGATAGAGAACATTTTATAGATATAGAAAATTTTTAAGACTAGAGTCTAAAAAAAATTTGTTCACTTTTAAAGCAGAAATATTGTATACCTTTTCACCGCTACCTTCATACTCTGAGAGAATACGTAACGTTTCCAGAGTTCCTTTATGAGCACTGCACACACGAAGGTGAACTTTTAAACCTAAAGATTCTGCGTGTTTCGCTATTTTCTTACAATGCTCTGTATCGGATGGTGAACCCATTAAAATAACAACTAAACTATTATGTGGAGGAATAAGAGAGTCCAGTTGATCCACTACCCATTTAAAGTTACGTTTTACAACTTCCAAATCTTCTTGTGTAACAGTTGTTAAGTTTCTGTATACCTAGAAGTAACAATTTAATACTGTAATGAGTAATTCTACTGAGATAATTAAAACAACATCATTAACAAATACTTGTTTGTCTTTCATCAGCCTCTTATCACCGGATGGCCAGAGTCTCCAAGAGTCACTGTCGATTATATCTGCTACCAGAATTTCCCCATTTGTATCTACACCAAATTCTATTTTCATGTCTACAAGAGCACAGTTTCTAGTTGCCCATGCTCTTTCTAAAATTTCAAATACAACGACAGTTGTTTGCCGCATAATATCAAATTCATCTTTCCCTATTGTGAGTCCATTCAATTTAAAACCCGCAGAAATAACTTGTTCCTCTGACCATTGAGGATCATGATTCTCGTCATCTTTAAAGTAAGTTTCCTGTAACGGTGGATTAAATCTATATCCTTCCGGAACACCTATAACAAAGTAAACACGAATGTATCGATAAGTTATCGAATTTAATTTCACCAAATAAACGATTAGTCTTTCTACAATTTACAAACCTGGGTGTCTCCTCAAAAAACTACCAGTAGCTAACCTTCTAGTGACCCATTCTATCGGTACCATTTCACACTTTCTGGCAATAAAAGTTACATCGTTTACCACTTTAACAAATGCAGTTTTTATTCCTGCTTGGTTCAATAGATGAAAAACTTTAGCTGTAGTAGCTGTGCTAATAGCCGCTTTGCCTTCCAAGTTGTCAGATCTCGCGCCATCTCCAGCAGTGATGCGATCTTTGCTTCGTAAAAGACATAGTACGGGATCGTTTAGCAGCTCGTACACCTGTTTAGTCTTTCCCTCGATAATTAGTTTTCCTTGTTCGTACTCTGTAGACCACAGGAAAAATATCTTAATATTTTCTTGATTATCTTATAACAATTCGACTGTAATAATTGTCATAAATGTGTAATAATTTGTATCCTATAAAGTTTGAATTAAAAATAGAACTTTAAAAAATCATTGTTTAAGATTAAACTATTAAAAGCTGTGTGAAAATCTTTTAAACGATAAAAGAAACATGTTATTTTTCGGGGAAAATTATTCTTTAAAATTTTAAACAATGAATATTTATAATATGGTCAACATCGTGTCTTAATATATATATTTTTAGAAAAGTACACGTTCGATTGCATCTATTTCAGAAATACGTACTTACTAGTACTTATTTAATTGGTTAAACAAACGTGACAGACGACTTATTCAAAGCAAAATAACTTGTACCATTGTAGTAAAAGAAACTATTGAACTGTAAAAAGTGAATTATTTAAATAGTAAATGAAAATGAAAAATATAAGACTACAATTAAAACGTAGATAAATTGTGGCGGTAATTATTTGACTGCTTACCGGTCATGTTTCCTGTTGTTCGTTTACTTCTCGAATGCCAGTTTCTCTCTTCTTGTACAGTAGAGTCTCTTTACCGATCCCCACTTTTGAAATTCTGCTTCACTTGATTGGTGTAAATTCATAAATTATCCTCGTGTGGATTAAATGATAAATACGAATGTGAATGGTGTGCACGATATAAACGGAAATGCATAAAGTATAATAAAGGAACGTGAATTGGAAAGACATTGAAATTTAAAAAATGTTCAACATTGATTTTATTCTGTTTATTCGTCTAAAACAATAGGGGAATTTAATTTTATAAAATACTGTAAGGACATATATTTACATTCCAGTAAAATGTTACCGTTATATAATCATGGATCGATGCATAATAGAGTATGATCGACATTCGCATCATTGAATCTATGAGGTAAATAAAAAGGATTATCTACTATAATTAGTAGAATATAAGATGGTCGTAATTCTAATAAGGCTGATGATGCGTGTATAGTTTCAGTATTTAATAATCAACTCTGCGGTTAACAGTTTTTCACGTTTCTGCGAGTTACAGTTATTCTTTAAATTAGTGTAAATAAACGGTCGATAATTAAAAACAAGATAATAGTTAAATAAGCTACCCCTCCTCCTCCCCCGGCGTAATCGAAAACAAGTTTCCATTGGCCTACACACTTATTCGTGCAGTAGAAGCCAGTCAAGAGCCATATGCGGATCTCTTTCGAGCTGACAGCAGAACATCACGACGCTCAAGCGTTTGATGCACGTGGTACGTAAACGGATGCTCTAAACTCTTTTGCATAAATGAGATCGGTTTTCAAACAGTTCTGAATCTTTATCAATCGTATTTCTATACGTTAACGCGCTGCCGAGAGGGTTTACATGAAAAGTTTAAATAAGAAACAAATACGTGCATCTTTTGTTTTGTACGCACTTGATACAGAACAGTCGAAATTTCAATTCAACGAGTATTTCATTATTCAAGTGGATATCACAAGTTAAAGTTTCTTCGTTAATTGAACCCTAAGTAATTTAAAATGATCGTCGAACAGAACCAGAATAGACCTGTTGCTCAATTACATTTGATTACATTAAAGTACCATATAAATGAAAACCGCATCATTTACGAAATAAGGATATTTACAAGCTTTGCTTTTATAAGTAATTATCGGTAAATACTATAAATTTCTTTATACATTTGTTTACAATGCCTTTTCTTTTAAGAAAAGTTTTCCATTGCTGCGAGATTTGGAATATTCTGGGAATATTCATTATATGAATTTGTAAATTTCATGTACAAATGTTTTTCATCCACATTAATGTGAATGTAGTACATTGACGAAATCAGTTGCGAAATGCTGATTAAGCAAGCGTACAGAAAAAGTAAAGTAGTAACATTGAAAAAGAAGTTTTATCAGCACATCAGGGGTCAATAGTTTACAAGAGCATTACTGATAATTCGGAAGGAATCTCAAGGGGGTCTAATACGTGTTTTGCAACATACAAATAATATTGTTTTCTTTTTTCTTTTAACTATTGCGTAACATTACGCGTTACAAAGTGTAACCAGGAAATTTTAAAGAACAACATAAGAGTTTAGTTCAACGCAATAATATAATTTGTTAATTATAAAGTTGTAAATTCTGTCACAGATTTTAGATCAACTACTCTAACATGTTTCAGATTACGAATAAAATGTCTTGTAACACGCAAATAGGGTCTAGCACTGAAATAGTGCCTAGAGAAAACAAGAAAAGCAAAAGGCTGTGCAATCAAGCGGAAACTAAAGGTCAGAACGTGTCTGGCCTTACACACGAATGTGGAGTTTTTGGATGTATCGCCGCCGGTGATTGGCCATCTCAAATCGACGTTGCTCAAGTTATTTGTTTAGGTAAGTTACATTACGTATCTTTGTTCTTTGTTTAAAGAAAAAAATATACCAATTCTTTCTTAGAGGCAATATTTGTCTAGGTTTGGTTGCCCTACAGCACAGGGGCCAAGAAAGTGCTGGAATCGTCACCAGCGAAGGTGTTTGCTCAAAGTCTTTCCATGTTCACAAGGGTATGGGAATGATTAACAACATTTTTAACGATGAAAATATGAAAAAGCTCAGCGGAAATCTTGGCATTGGTCATACTAGATACAGCACAAGCGCGGCAAGCGAAGAAGTCAATTGTCAGCCATTTGTAGTTCACACTGCGCACGGGGCATTAGCAGTTGCTCATAACGGAGAACTAGTTAATACAGAATCGTTGAGGAAAATGGTAATATCGTGTAATGCTAATAAATTAAATTATAATAAAAGACAACTGTTATTTCTGAAAGTTACGGCTAAAATTTTGCAATTTACGTATACGCTCAGGTGTTAGGTCGTGGAGTTGGCTTATCAACTTATTCTGATTCTGAATTAATCACTCAAGCTCTCTGTTTAAACCCTCCCGAAGGTGAAGTTAACGGTCCGGATTGGCCAGCGCGTATTAAACATCTCATGCAATTAGCACCACTGTCGTATTCATTAGTAATCATGCAAAGAGACAAGATATATGGAGTTAGAGATCCGTATGGGAATCGGCCGTTGTGTCTTGGAAAAATTGTACCAATTGGTAATTTGGGTATGTCAATGTACTTGGACAAACGTATCGTAAATATATTGTCCGTGCGTTATTTCTAGTCTCTGTGTGCATAAGAAAAAGCCGGTTTAGTAAAATACTTTTATGCAGCAGGAAACGAATCGGACGACGACGACGACGAAGCCGAAGGTTGGGTTATTTCTTCGGAATCGTGTGGATTCTTAAGTATCGGAGCACGATACGTGCGCGAAGTGTTTCCTGGAGAAATTGTAGAACTCACCCGTGAAGGCATTAAAACTATAGACATTGTCGATAGGCCAGGCAAAAAACCACAAGCTTTTTGCATCTTCGAATACGTTTACTTTGCACGAAGCGACAGTATTTTTGAAGGTAAGATATAAGAATTAGAAAATGATATGTGTTAAAAATATAACGATACACGTTTTCGAGTTTCCTTCCCGTTGTTTAACAGGACAAATGGTATACTCTGTTCGCATGCAATGCGGACGAGAACTTGCTTTAGAATCTCCGATAGAAGCGGACATAGTCAGTTCGGTACCTGAATCGGGAACTGCAGCTGCTCATGGTTATGCCAGACAGGTAGATGCGCTAAATTTATTCTTTGATCATTGAAATTTTGAAGATCTTACAGGATTCATAAATCGAATATCGTCGTACTGACGGAAGTATTTTTACTTTACAGTCTGAAATACCGTTCGCAGAAGTGTTATGCAAAAACAGATATGTTGGCAGAACGTTTATTCAACCCAGTACACGGCTTAGACAACTTGGCGTGGCAAAAAAGTTTGGCGCGTTATCGGAAAATGTGAAAGGAAAAAAATTAATTCTTATAGACGATTCGATTGTTAGGGGAAATACTATTGGACCTATCATTAAATTGCTTCGAGATGCAGGAGCAAAGGAGGTACGGTTCTTACTGGTCGTTAATTCTGAGCAATTCTATTAAGGTGACGGATAAATTGAAACGAAAAGTGATTTCTAAACATATTTTTATAGGTTCACATTAGAATAGCTTCACCTCCATTGAAATATCCTTGTTATATGGGAATCAACATTCCAACAAGGGAAGAATTAATTGCAAATAAATTAGATAACATAAAACTAGCAAAATATGTGGGAGCTGACAGTTTAACATACCTTTCGGTAGATGGACTTGTCAAAGCTGTAAGATTTGGTATGGATAATAGAGAAAGCAGTTATATCGGTCATTGTACAGCATGTTTAACTGGAGATTATCCTGATGAGCTTCCCAGTGATTTGAATTGGTGAAAAAATGAAACCATATTTACATATCTACAGACAATAAATTACACGTTATTGAACTTCGTATTATATATATATATATATATATATTATATATCTATACTGTGTATGTTTATATTAATGTTAAAATTACTTAGCAAGAATCACTTTAATATAAGTTATTAAACAGCGATTTAATTAATGATCAATTATCATTGTATATTTCCAAAAATAATGCAGTATTTCAAAAGCAATTTAGATAAGGTATACATAATATTAATAATGAAAATGTTGTGACAATCAGTATGGAAATCTGATTAGAAATAAAGAAAATAAAACTATTCAGAGAAATCACTGAAAAGAAAAGAAAAGAAAAGAAAAGAAAAGAAAAGAAAGGAGAATTAAAATTTTTTTCTACATATTGTATAGGTAAAACATTTAAACCAATATCCCAGTGAACATATAGCGTAAAAAGATTTTCAAACAACGGGAACAAACGAACAAACTAAAGAAATAACTGTTGGTTAAATCGCATCGTTACTAGATATATTTAATTAATTGAAATAACTGTCGCATTTGCTATTTCTATTAACGAATAAAATGTTGAAAGATTAAAAGTACTAATGATACAAATAATAATAATACGTACATCACGTTATTATTTTTGGTCAGTATAGATTTTCATGCATCCATTTTAGTATTTATATTCTTCCGCGTATGCTCTCAACTGTTCAGATATTTCTTTCATTTTTGCTTCTCGTTTCAATTGTTTCGAAATTTTGGCATTAGTCGCATCTTCTTGATCTACTTTTGCTTCGCACTCTTCGGTTTTCGTCGGTTCACAGTCGTCGTTAATGTTTGTATTTTTTAAAGTATCCGAAGTACTGGAAGTGCCGTTAACGTTTAATATGTGCAACTCCTCTAACTTTTCTTCTATTTTATCAAAGGATCTTTTACTTTTCGTTATCGACGGTTGTGCCTTTTTATCTTTTATTCTTTGTTTCTTATGAGCTTTGTTCGTGCTTCTTTTTTTGGACAAGTTATTTATACATGTGTTTAAACGATGATTAGCATCATCCGAGGTCAAAGATTGCGGTTTCTGTAATGCTCGAAATTCTTGAAGATCGCCGTCACAACTATCTTTGACGGTATTTAGACTTTCATCGATAATTTCTTTAGGCGATACAGATTTAGAGTAGAATGGATCTTCTTCGCGTTTTACAGAAGTATCGTTAAACTTATTCGTGTTATCGGATTCGTCTTTATGTTTATACATGGCAAAAGGATTATCTTCGTCGGATTCTGATTCAGGTATTATACCCTGAGATTTTTTTTCTCGTCTGATCTTTTGCTTCTCCAGATATGAATGCAAAGCGTTTAATCTATTGGTTCTCATAGTCTTCCAGAAGGAAAGAGCTAAGAAGAGAAAATGCGAAAGTATAAATTGAATTATACAGTTAGAATAGAATTAAGTTGGAGGTATATCGAATTCTACCTTCTTCTTGATATCGACACGGTACTCCAGCTAACCGAAGAGTCTTTAAATTTGGAATACAACGGTCATGGGTCGAATCTCCGAGCACTTCTGTCCTAGATTTGATAAAGATTCGTTGCATCTTTAAGATTTTTTTAGTTTTAGTAAAATACGTTAAGCTCGGAATGTCATCGAAAACGGGATCGTCCGGCATAAAATTGTCGTTTTTTACGAAAAACATGTATGTACCGTTAACATCTTCGTAAGTGCCTTCGTAAAGCTAGAATCATTAGAATACCATGGGTAATAGAGTAACAATATTTTGTTCGATTTGTCCAACGCGTAAGATAATTTGGAATTACCTTCCCATTAATTTGCATTATCGGATGTTCCGTGTCTATACCGATCATATCTAATTGCAATTGCTCTTCACTGAACACATTAACGTCCACGAGTCCTTCGAATTCTACATACACGAGAATTTCATGCTCGTCTTCGGATATCTCGTCGTCGGAACCCATGTCGGTTGTCACTTTTTGCCATCACCGCAGACTCGAGATAGCACGGGCGAGGTGTATAGGATAGACGTAACGCGTAACGTAAAATTTCTCGTCGGTTTCGCGTCGCACAGCCTGTCGTATCGACTCGGGTTGGTTTCGCATGGCAGCGTTACGAGCGATACTTTAATATTCTCTCGCCGCTGTTCCGAAACACCGGCACCGCGAGAAGCGTAGATATTTCCGTACTCGGGATCTGCGATACCGAGGCCGCCTGCGCGAACAGGTTGCGCGTTTCGCCGTAGATGGCGGCATCGGTCGGTTCAGCGACTCGTGCGATTCGTCACGATCGATACTCGAAATCAGCCGCGCGACTCTTTCGAATCCCGATCCTTAAGACAAAGTTTCGTTTACCGTCGAACATTGGATCCAGCAAACGAGCAAACGAGTAGTCGAATAGACTAGGTTCCGGTGGTTCGCAGAGGCGCGTTGCACAGTTGAAATCGAACAAGAGTAAAGAAAGAACGGAGAAAGTTTAGGATCGACGATCGCCGGCCGGTCGACGGACGCGTACGAGGAGAACCGCGCGAAAAGGAAGGAACGCCGCGAAACATTAGGAAAGTGCAATTACGGGGGTGGACGGGCGGATCGATCGCGACCCCTGACCGCAGGAATCGTGCGAGTCGTAGGCGAGGGATGACGCGCGGCGGCGGGAACGGAGAACTCTGTTCGAGGAATGTTGGTTCCCATCGAAATATCCCGCGAGTTTTTCTCCGTACTGCTCGACGAGGTTCTTCCTCGAGGATACGATTACGACGCGAATCAGCGAAATCGTCTCGCGTGCGGATCGATTCGAGAAAGGTGGATCGATCCGAGGCAACGGGGAGGAACGCGGTGCGTGCCTCGTGCCTCGTGCCTCGTGCGTCGTGCGTCGTGCCGTGTGCCATGCGGCGCGTGCGGAAGCGTACCGCGATACAGTCGCACCTATTCCCCTATTCCCCTGCTCCCCATTCCACGATTCCCCGAGCGAGCCGAGCAACCGAGCAACCGAGCAACCGAACGTAGGGATTCTCCCTCGGCCGGGAGCACGCGTACGGCGCGGGGGTGCGCACGCGCTGGAAATTGTTTGATAAC